AGTAACGCTTGATTCTATCAATTAAATGTCATGTATTGATGTTGGTTATGGAGATTAGAGAACTCTTGTTATGAAGTACGGAGTGTAGATGTAAGGAGTACAGACTTATCTATGGTACAGACCCCATATAAATAAGTGTTCATAGGAAAGCGCTAAATAAGGGTGGCGTCACTGTAGCTACCGTAGACAGAGAATTTTCTAGAAGATTCTCTGTCTACGGTAGCTACAGTCTAAATTTTTATAGAAATAAAAGAACTTTTAATATTTTTTATTGCACATACTTTTACCATATTTCTGATAAATACTAGTAAACCTTCCAACTTTAGAAATTTAGACGTTATCTAACTTTGACATAATTTGTTTCGAATATTTATTTTTTGCCAACATAAAATTCGTGATAATTAAAGTTCGTAACTTTTAACGTATGGAATATTATACCTTCGAATAGTTGGTTATTTCGTAACCTTTGACGGCAGAACTACGTTCATAAAACATAGCTCATAAAGAACCATGCTTATGACCGATATATCGATGTTTGAAAGAATTGATGTATCGTTAACATCGTTAACACGGTGGAAGGGTACTGCAGACACTTTGACGCCCTAATTAGGGACCCTTACTGCCTTTCTCTTATTTCACCACCCTGAATCAGGGCGTAGGGAGCCTGATTCAGGGTAGTGTAAAAGGGGTGTAAAATAGCAATATAATATTTGATTATTATACTTCTTTGTTCATGTATGTATGTATATATTTAAATGACGATAAAAAACATCGAAAACTCAGGGTAGTGTAATAATTGACGTCCCTAACTAGGGGCCACGCCCACCCTTCATTTAGGGCCCTGAATCAGGGTGGTGTAATAGGGGGGCATTAGGAAGTAAGTATAAACTCCAGGAGTTTATACTAAATATATGATTTAAGAGGCGGGCATGGACTATAGACGTAAGGCGAATAGTCGAAATGAAATTTCGTCCATCTGTAAGCACATTGAGGTTAGAGAAGTAGGAAGCTACGTTTTACTCCTTCATGGTTTTACTTCACTCGTTGTTGTAGATTGTGACACGCAGTCGTAGACAGAGAAACCTATAGAAAAATTGACGCCTTTTTTCGCATTCGCACACGAAAAAGATAGATTTATGCATACGTCTTGCATAGAAATGAGATAGAGCGGTGTGATTGTTTGTCCCTTTCTCCGTGCCGGTTTTTTTCATTTTTAAACTTTAACAGCGTAGCGATTTAAGGAGTTTACAAGTTGGTTTAAGTGAGAAAAAAGTGTTTTGTGAACTTAAGATTGGTGAATCTTGTTCAGTTCAGTTCTTAGAATAATTAAAATTTTTATCTAAATGTGTTTAAAAGTCATAAAGGTTATTGTATAACCTAAAAATTCGTTATCGTCCTTTCTCACTCGAGGCCACGCCGATCATTAGTCTGTAGGTTTCTCTGTCTACGCATGCAGTAATCTGTGGTGACACGTACTCTATCTTTCAGTTTATACAAAGGTACTCTGTGACTCTATCAAAGAGTATAGTTTCTGTATATATTACTTTACTCTATGGAGTATAGGTACTTTGAATGACTGATAGTGATACTGTATGTATTATACATAACTGTATTAAATAAGTTAATAATATTTTGAATTTCTTTCTGTTGTTTTGACCTCGGTATTGTTTTACAAACTGATTTCGCGACACCGTTTTCGCATCTGAGATATTTGTGAGAGACATCATGCAGACTACACAGCAAAGACAACTAGGAGTTCGATTGCTATGTGTTAATTGCAACATATGCATTAATACACTTCGTCGCCATATCGTTTTTGAGCTTGATACCAGAATAATTTCTGAGATCTGCAAGTGGAATTCTTCAATAATAGTATGTATTTACATACCTACCTACTTATTTTATTACATTAACATAAACCATCACACATAATCATACAACTCTAATTCTTGTTTTAGATCACTGAAGAAGATTACATATGCGATGCCTGTCAGCAATTGGCAATACAGCATGTAAACTCTGGATTATCTAATGAACCTGGTGACTCATCTTTCCGTGGCCACAAGTATGTTTGCATACTTTGTGGAAGATCTCTGAGGAACCGTAAACGTGACCTTATTGTGAGAGAGAATCCATCTCCGTTGCAACAAGCAATGCACGTAGAACTTGAAAATAGAATTGCCCCACGGCAGGTAATTATTATTTGCTTATTATTATTATGTGCTTTTTGTTTTGTAATTGGTAGCAATGTTATAATGAATTTATCACTGCAATATTATGTTGTTTTGTAAAAATGTCAAATAATGTGCTAAAACATTTATATTAACACAAGGTTGTATGGTTGTTTCAGGCAACTCCAACAGACCATGTGTGTCATCCCTGTTGGCTGAGACTCAAAAGAGTTGCAACTCATAATATGCAGCAAAATGTTGAGCAGCAGACAGAGCCAGAACCTCAACCCCAAGAACCTCAAAGCCCTTCAAATACCGACCAGCAAGCTTTTGAAGTGCCTAGGGTGATTAGTTTGCCGCAGTATAGACGAGCGGCAAATACTGCAGCACATTGTGTTTTTTCTGGTTGCCAGAATAGGGATTTGCATAGAATTTCTGACCCCCTAAGAGCAACAACTCTTAGCAAACACAAATATTACTTGCCTATAAATGCTCGTATTTGTGTAGAACACACATTTAGTACTGATTGGGATATGTTATTCAATTCTCAAAATAGTTTGAGAACTTTTACAGCTGAACAAGTGGAACATGCTCTGTCTTTTATAAATTCTTTTAACACATATCTCGATTTCTCGAGTATGGAAAGTGTTGAAAGAATTGATGAACATTTGTTTCATTATTGTCTCGGAATGAATAAACAGCAATTTAAACTTTTAGTATATGAAACGCCGCATCTAATAGAAACGAATAGAGGTATTTTAGGTTTAGGTGCTCTTTTAATGAAGATGAGAACTGGTGACTCAAATGACCAGTTATCGGAGTTATTAATGGTTCCAAGACGAACATTAGAAAGATTAATGGATAAGGTTAGGGAAATGTTGGTAGAAGGAATTTAACACATATCCTGTGATTAATTGTTGCAACACAATTTAATGATTCCAAATGCAATTAATAAACAAAATAATAATAATATGATAATTATATGTGATGGGACATATATTTATATAAACAAAAGTTCCAATTATATGTTCCAAAAGGACACATATTCCTTACATAAATACAAAAACTTGTTAAAACCATTTTTGCTGGTGACACCTGATGGATACATTGTAGACTGCTTTGGCCCATACAAAGCTACCACAACTGATGCAGATATAATGAAGTCTCTTTTCAGAGATGAAAACTCTCCTCTCAGACAATACTTTCAAAATAATGATGTTTTTATTCTAGAAGGGGATTTAGAGATTCAATTAGTTTGTTAAAGGCTTGCAGCTACAAAACATATATGCCAGGATCCCTGTTTGAAGGTGAGCTAACAGGAGATGTGTGTGACTTTAAAATATTCTGGCAATTTTTTTTTAAATAAAACTTCCACATATGATGCAAATGTTTTGCAATCCTTTTACATAAATTCGGTGTTTGGTTAAAAACAGGAATGATGCTGAGAAAATCATAAATGTGGTTAGGGAATGATTTACATTAAATAATAATTATCTGATGTTATAAACAGTATGAATATAAATAGACAAACATCTGATTTTACAAGTATTACAACTCATTCCAATATTAATATTATATTCCCCCGTCTAGAATATAGTGAAGTTATATTATTTGCCCTGGGAACATATTGGAGGATTCAATGTCCTATTATAGTGGATTGTCAGGTTTCACTGAGGGTTATATAAATTGAAATAAGCAGAGAAAACATTGTAGAGCAAGATCCAGATCCCAGGGCCACCAAACGTCACATATTTTCTGACGGATGAAATGTGGATGATTGACTAGTGTTAGTATGTACAATGATCATATGCCTACCTGCTAGCTTGGTTAAACGGCCAATTTCCAGGTATCAGGCGATCAAGGTACATAAAACATTACTTCACGTAAATTCTCATGGCTGATTTTCATATATGTTTCAGAATGTATAGTTAAAAATAAGTTTTCAATACTCCCAGATACTTTCTGTTGGCCATATTGCTTTGCAGATGCTTTAAAGCTCTCAAAATAATTAGTTAACTTCACGTGCATTCAGATGCTCCATTTTTATATATGTTCACCCGACAACTATTTTAAAACATTTGACAAGAAGACAGGCCGATCTAAGGGGCCCATCATCCCCTTAACTAAATTTTAATACCTCTGTGAGTGGGAGCGCGAGAGCATTATCTACGCGCATGAGACTGAGTGATATCAACTGCGCTGTTAAGGCCATGAAAACTACTTGAGCAGATATTTTATAATTTTTAGAACTTTTGTTAACAAATAAATTATGGCAACAAAAATAAGAAAAAAATTGACAATAAATAATACTAAAGTTAGCCGACATTTTTAATTTTTTTTTCATTTATTGATTAGAACTAAAAATATTTTTTTAAAACACCACTTACAGTTAAATAACAGCAATTTCTTAAATTCACTATTCATTGGAAATTAATCTTACAAAAAACAAAGTAGAAGAATATTAATCCTTCAATATTTCTTAATAGTGGCTTTTAATTTTCATTATCGTCGTCGTTGAAATTAGATAATTCATCATCGAGCCAATCTTGAAATTAAATATCTTATCCTCAGTCAGTCCCACCAGTATTATCCTTATTTTATCTGTCTGTAAAAAAACAAGTCAAACAATCAAGGTCTGAATAAACTAAGGAGATACAAAAAAATATGAGAAATTAAAATAATTTACCTGATTATTCTTCCAGCGACAAAACCAGGTAATTGATCTCCATCGAACCAATGAAAATCATATTTACCATCTTGTAGTGTCCAGCCATTGTTCCAAAGACTGGCAATATAGTTAGCCCGTCGGAACTGTTGCCAAAGCTCACTTTAGCAAGGTGGTAAGTTACTGGCATCGAAGTTTCTTAAGTTCTTCCAATTGAATTCTTCATTAATATCAGATACCATATATGTATTAATAAACCATTGTAGTCTGGCAGCATCTACATCAATTATTCCAGGAACATTGATTACACATTCTTCTTCACTTACATCATCAACAAAATCCAACATACCAAAGCGGTGAAATGCTTGTTGGTACTCTTCATTTTTCTTCAAAATATTAAACGGCTTTCGCTTGCCGTTTTTGAATAATGCTGGATTAAAATCACATCCTGTGATAGCATGGAATGCTGGTAAACTTAGACACAACGACGGTCCTAATTGTTCGTAGATAGCATTCAAGTCAACATATCTCTGCTTGTTACCAGTGCCGGTCAAAATCCAAACTCGAGAATCATTATTTTTCAAATGATGCATATTTCCTAGCATTATCGCTGCCATATCAGTATCTGAACATCGTATCACAAAATTAGCCTGAGCATCGATGTTGCAAACATGGTATACGATCTTTGTATCCGCTTCCTCATGCTCGGAACACGATAAATCTTCATGGATTTCAGACATAACTTTATTGTTAATTACGGTGAAAGAGTTGCATTGTCGAAAATTAATAAAATTTTTATTATTGCCAATGAATGGAATCATCTCATCAGTAGCCCAGTGTATTGCAAAAAATTCAACAGGAGACTGTTTGAAATGGATGTTTTTAAACTCTTTCGTGAAATCTGATGGACGAACTTGATCTGGTCCAGTAATGTTGAATTCTAATTGTGATGATTCATGTCGACGAGATTTTTCGTAATCTTTTATGGAAGTGGAAAAATACTGATCAAAAATTACATCATATCTCGTTGCTTTGATTTGAGTCACCATTTGTAACATTTTTTTTTTGAGATACTCCCAAAGGTTTTAGGCACATTTTCATTGTATGAAGCATGAAAAAACCAACAATTATCAAAACATCAACATGAGAAGGTGGATCGTGTTGTACGTCTTTTTCCAAAGATTTCATCAATGCGGATTTTTGAGTCTTACAAATGCCACCCTCGAAATGACACATGGATAATGGCATCGGAGTTATGGGGTATGATAAGATTTTGGACATATCCAATTTATGATCAATAGATATTCCAAGCATTCGCCCAAACAGATCTCTTTGAATATATTGCGGTCACATTAACTTGACGCATCGCTGGAATGCGAGGCCCCGCTCGCTAGCCTCCGCACTCCCATAGCTCGCCCGGCAACCGTCAGTATGGTTAGCATCTTTGTTACAATTTTGTAAATGACGTCATCAAAGCCATGTGTCAAGTTAATGTGACCGCGTTGTACGTACTTCCTGCACCTTGCCACCTACCTTTGTTTTTGTTTTCTTAACATAATCTACAGAAAAGTTTTCTAGTGGCACTTTTTATGCTCTTTTCAAATCTATTTTCATCTTCTTCACATTCTGTAATGAAAGTTTGACGTCTTATGTCACCAGCTTTTTCAATGCTAAGACGAATTTTTTCTACTTTCTCTGAGGCTGCCTTTCCGGATGTAATATTAAATAAAAGTTCTTGTGGTATTTCAGCACTGAACGGATTAATAAATTGGTCAAATATATTTATAAGTTGCTTGCTATTATTTTTCATATTATGATTTGATAATTCTGCTGTCATATCTTGTTCTGTTTGCAAATTTAAATCTTTATATACACTACTAATTACAGTTGATCTTATGTCATGACTGAGGGCCCATCGTTGACGTGCTGAGATGAAATTGGTAAATTGTATTATTCCTGAAAAATATAAATTATACAATGTTAAAAATTATGCTTGAAATGTTTGTCAATGGGAAGTTATCATAAATTCATGTAAATGTTTACGTCTATTGTAAATTAATTTTGCTTGGTGTTTATTACCTGTAAGTCTCCTGGCTGCATCTGCATTTATCGTTTGTTCCAGAACTAAATCAATCGGTTTCTTTGAGAAAGGTTTATTAGTTCTTTGAATGCTAAAAACAATTTTGAAACTGTTCAAACAAGTCAGGATGACTTTGGGCAACCTTTTGCAAATTATCACTGTATTTAACTGTCCAACGAGCATAGTTCTGTTGGTTACACATTAAAAAAAATGTAATTTTTGGCAATACAAATTTAAATAATTCAAAATTTCCATTGCGGATGCTTCTTGACAAATTTAGATAGTGATGAACGAGGTTAATACAAATTGACTTCTAAAAAGCTTGGCGTGCTCAGCAGAGCTGTACAGTATTTCATGCCGGCACACCGCTTGCAACTTTACAAGGCGCAGGTTCGGCCGCACATGGAATACTGTTACCATCTCTGGGATGGGGCTCCCCAGTACCAGCTCCTTCCACTTGACCGCATCCAGCGCAGAGCGGCTTGAATCGTCGACGACCGTGTGCTTTCCGATCGGCTCGATTCACCGGCGCTGCGAAGAGATGTTGCGTCTCTTTGCATTTTCATTCGCATATACCATGGGGAGTGCTCTGAGGAATTGTTCGGATTAATCCCAGCCGCCAAATTTCGTGAACGCACTACGCGGCACACGTCCCGATACCATCCACACCATCTGGATGCTTGGCGGTCTACCACTGTACGTTCCAAAAGGAGTTTTCTTCCGCGTACAACCTCTGTGTGTAATAGTTTACCACCGGCGATTTTTCCGGACAGATACGACCTTCTACTTCAAGAAAAGGGCTTACTCCTTTCTTAAAGGCCGGCAACGCACCTGCAATTCCCCTGGTGTTGCGGTTGATCATGGGCGGCGGTAGTCACTTAACATCAGGTGAGCCGCATGCTCGTTTGCCCCCTCTTCTATAAAAAAAATTAAGTAAAACTGTGGTGTTTTACCGAACTCTCCATTAAGGGTTTGCTGCTTATAAATATTATAGTTATTTATTAGATCGTTAAGCTCTTCATTCTCAATTGTTAGTGTAGATACTGAAGAAGCTCGGAGACGACTGCGACTGCGACTTCATCAGCAATTTGATCTGTAACCACTGTGTTATTCGTTTCCAAAAATGATTTAAAATGTAAAATTTCCAACCCCACAGACATCAAAGGATGAAGTCTTTTACACCTATTGAAGTGTTTACCCTCAAGAAACCCATTTACAGACCCTGAAGCTAATAAATTACTCTGTACCATAATATTGGCTAAGCCACAGTCCATGATAATTTTGCCTACAGCTTTGAAGTAAGCTATCATTATATGGAACGGCCCCAAGTGTATAAATAAATTATCAAGATCTGGTTTGTAAGTAGCTTGCATTTCCAAGGCTACTTTTGCAATCGCAAGATAATAAGTAACTTGGATGGAAGACTGGTTGACTTCTTTACAAATTTTTTGACTTTGTTTCATTGTTTCTAAAACTACAGATTTGTTATAGTAGGTGATTCATTTATCGGAGTTAGATATGAAACGATTTGTTTTGGACTGTTATTATCAACTAGTAAAGAATTGAATCCAACTCACATTAGAACGTTTGGTAATTGAAGAGCATGGCTAAGCATCCACAACGTATCAATCGTTTCATATAATTTTTACATTGTAAATTTGCACCGTCATGATCTGAGCTTTCCAGATTTTGTGACTTTTTTCTTAGCTAACGGTTCTTCACTAATTTCTGTTGATATGCCCTCAAAAGTTCTCCGTCTCCCTTTTTCCAAATTCAGTTACTTCATAATGATTTCTTATATTTACGCGAACATTGCACATGATTAAAACTACTTTTACGGATTTTATCGCGTTTATTTTTACTTTTTATTTTACACTAAGGATTCATACCATTTTGTCAGTGAGATAAAAGACCTACATCTTACTGACAATGAAACCATGGTCAGTTTTGATGTTCAGTCTCTATTTACATGCCTACCTGTTGAAGACTGCATCTCAATTATAACTAGGAAACTAGAGGAAAATAACATGCCAGCAGAATATGCAGTATTACTAAGACATTGCCTTACGTCTGGCTATCTATTGTGGAAGGAAGAGTTTTACAAGCAAGTAGATGGTGTGGCGATGGGCTCACCTGTATCTCCCATTGTCGCCGATATATTCATGGAAGACTTTGAGGAGAAAGCCCTCCTTACTGCACCTGTTACACCAAGGATCTACAAGCGGTACGTAGACGATACTTTCACAATTTTACCATCAGACAAAGTAACTGCATTTTTAGAACATCTTAATTCCATAAACGCTAAAATTCAATTTACTATGGAGTTAGAGGCAAATAATTCCTTACCTTTCCTAGATGTGTTAGTCATCCGAAATCCTAATAACACCATTGGTCACACTGTGTATAGGAAAAAGACCCATACAAACCGATATTTAAACGGTGAATCTCACCACCATCCTTCACAGTTAGCTACCGTGGGCAAATCTTTGGTACAGAGAGCACGAGGGATCTATGACAGCAAACACCTGGCCGCCGAGCTTCAGCACGTCAAGCAAGTTCTGCACGACAACAAGCTTCGGGTCCCGCGCCTACGTCACAGTGACCGAGTGAAGCCGGCCACAGTCGAGCGTGTGCCTGCTGTACTACCATATGTCAGAGGTGTCACAGACAAGATTGGCTATATCTTGAAGCGAGCTTCTATTAGAACATTCTACAAGCCGCCGAAGAAGATTAGTCAGTTCCTACCATCCGTCAAGTGTCATATTCCTCTACAAGATGCAGGAGTGTACAAGCTTGATTGTGAATGTGGTCTCTCTTATATAGGACAAACCAAAAGATCAATTAGGACCCGCGTAAGGCTGCCTGTCCACCGGAGCGGAGCGAGGCTGCGGAGCGGAGCGACGGAGTAATGCGGAGCGTAGTTGCGTACTGTGTCTGTCCACCGGAGCGGAGCGAGGCTGCGGAGCGGAGCGAGAAAGTAATGCGGAGCGGAGTTGCAGACTCTGTTTTTCAATATGCTGAGCTAGGCCGCGAGTACGCGACGAGTCATTTCGAGCTTCCGGCGGCGGGCTTTGGTTTAGTTGTACGCGAAATATCAGTGACAGTAGACATGTTATCGAAAAAGTTAATATATTATTACCTTACATTGCTTGAGGAAGAGTTGGAGTCAGAATAAACCGAATTACTTACCATATACCATTTGAACAATTCTATGAGGAAACATAGATTTTGGATAAAAAACCATATCAAACATCGTTCAGAACACAGTGAATTTTTTACTTTTTTCCAAACTGCTGATGAAGAAATTTTCGAAAATTCTTATAGAGTATCAAGATCTACTTTTCATGAACTTCACTCCGTGATTGAACCACATATTCGGAAACAAGACACAAATTACAGAATATCAATTAGTATCCGTGAAAGATTAGCAGTGTGTTTAAAGTACATTTTGAAATTAAAGTAACTTTTATTTCTTTCATACAGTAGACACCATGTTATATTAATTTAAAAATCATAATCTGTCTCAAAGTTGTCCGCATTTTCATTGGGTCCTGTTGGCTCTGCTGCAGATGTTTCAATATCCTGGATTGTTTGAATTTGTAAAGCGCTAGGATTATTGATACTAGTGTTGATAGTATCTAGAGCACTAGGAATATTAATACTAGTGTTGATATCATTTGGAGCACTAGGAGTATCGATACTAGTGTTGATATCATTTGGAGCACTAGGAGTATCGATACTAGTATTGATATTATCTGGTGTAGGTGTTGAGCCTGTAGAATAACCATAATTATTCGGAGAATACCAACTATGCTGAAGATTACTTTCTTCAGCTGACATTACCGCATTAAAGCAGGTTTTTTTAATTTGAAGTTGTAAGTGATACGGTAGTTTTTTTGTCGATGCAGCCAAATTTAAAAAAAATAAGTCTATATTATCGTACTTATCACTAGCTAACATCATGTTTTTAACTTCTATCCGTTCTCGTGCCAACAGTTCGCAGCGTTCCTGATTTTTTTTTAAAAGTTCCAGAATTTCATCTTTTTTCCTTTTTTTGGATGTGGATGGGTGAGGCCCAGAAGCTGTTGAATCATTAGGATCATCGATAGAAGGAAGATTATTTGAATTTGATGGTAAAAGACTGTATGATTCCCTTGAACTCTCTTCAATGGTATTTGGCGAATTTGAAGTTTCCATTACTGAGACGTTCAGTGGCGCAAAATTTGTTGGCCGGTCTCTATTACTCATGTAAGGCAATAAAAATGACATTGCTTTCTGATATTTCCATTCCTTTCGTTGTTTTCTAGCCTGTCCACTCCTTGTTGCATTTTGTCTTTTTAAGGCATCCCGATGGTTATTTCTTAGTTGTTTCCATCGCGACTTGGCAGTTTTAACTGAAACAATCAACAAAATCAAAAATATATGACATGGTCTATTTATAAAAAAAAATTGTTTTATTAACTAAACAGATTTTTTTTAGGTATTTAGCAACCGGCCAGTCATTTACAACGTTGGGAGAGAATTTTAGAATTGGATTGAAAAGTGTATCAAGAATTGTTGACGAGGTTTGTGATGCTTTATGGAGTGTATTGCAACCTACTGTCATGTCGCAACCAACAGAAAACGACTGGAAAGAAATCGCAAAAGATTTTGATGAGCTATGGCAATTTAAAAATTGTAAAGGTGCTCTTGATGGCGAGCACGTATATATCAAGGCTCCCTCGAAAACCGGGTCCTCGTTTTTCAACTACAAAAAGAGATTTTCTGTAGTATTGATGTGTTTAGCTGATGCCAGAAGGAAAATCATAATGGTTGACGTGGGATCTATGGGAAGATTTTCTGATGCAGGAATTTTTGCTGACAGCATTTTTGGAAAGAGATTAAAAGAAAAGAGATTGAATTTACCTGAACCGGTACCATTGTTTCAAGGTGGAGCAAAAATGCCGTTCGTATTTATAGGAGACGAAGCTTTTCCATTAATGGAAAATTTTATGAGGCCATACTCACGTGATAGACTAAAGGCAGAAAGAAAAATATTTAATTACCGATTATCAAGAGCACGTCGCATTGTTGAGGCAACTTTCGGTGTATTGATGAGAAAGTGGTACGTGTATCATAAAGATTTCGAAAGCAAAATAGAAACAGTTGACAAGGTAATAAAAGCAACGTGTATTTTGCATAATTATTTAATTCAAAGACAGCCTGATTATATAAACAATATTGAAAATAGCATGGAGCAAACATTACTATCAGATGGTGATATTACAGAAACACAACACTCTAGTAATGATGGTTATCAAGTTAGCGAAATGTATTGTTCATACTTCAATAATCAGGGGAAGGTGCTATGGCAAGATACTCGAATTTTGAGAAGAATCTAAAGTCAATGATACGTGACAGATTTGGATAGTTGGCCAACCACGGACTATTTGTTAAATAAAATTTAGGTATTCTTGTGTTTAATAAATAAAAAAACCTGCCATATTGCAAATTTTAGTATTGGTTATTATATCTTATTATAGTATTTACTAAAACTATACCAAATTTTATGCTTGTATAAAACCGTTTTCATGGTAGAATCAACACTTTTCTTGTATGGGAGCCCCCAATTTTTTTTTATTTTTTTTTTCAGTATTTGTTGTTAAACTGGCAACAGAAATAAATCATCTGTTAAAATTTCAACTATCTAACTATCACGGTTCATGAGATACAATCTGGTGACTGACAGACGGACGGACGGACGGACGGACAGACAGACAGACAGACAGACAGCGAAGTCTTAGTAATAAGGTCCCGTTTTTTACCCTTTGGGTACGTAACTCTAAAAAGGTATCAATATGTAGGTACCTACTAGAGTGTAGAGATACATAATATTATTTACCATCTGATATGTTTGTTTCGACGATTATTTGGTCCCGCAGCGTCTTTTGTTTCATTGCATTTGTAAAAATCTGAAGATGTGTTCCAAATGCACGGAAACTTTTTAACACTTTCAATAAGTTTTTCATCCATATCTTCACTGCACCGGTCACATACACTCTGCTCGGAATACGGCGGCACACTGCGGACGCACCACGCTTCCCCGCTCGGCTACCCCGCTCTGTTTCCCCGCTCAGTTTCCCCGCTCCGCTACCCCGCTCAGCTTACCGATTTTGTAAGAATTTTTAAACTAGTTCGCAACTCCCTGTCCACTGAAGAGGAGCGGAGATTTTGTGCAATCCTATTGGTTAAAATTTCTCCGTTTCTCCGCTCCGCGGCCTCGCACCGCACCGGTGGACAGGCAGCCTAAAAGAACATATAGCTGATGTGAAGCATCAACGTTCCGGGAAGTCTGCAGTTTGTGATCATATCCTAGACGGCCCCAACCATTACATCAGATTTGATAGACCACAAATCCTCGCGAAAGAACCGATTCCTACCAAGGATGATACGTGAGGCTATTGAAATTAAAAAACATCCTAATTTCAATAGAGAAGGAGGCTGGGTACTACCACCTGCTTGGGATCCTATAATCAATAAAATTAAAACTAAACCCAAGCATGCCACTGCAAGACCTCAGGACATAGTTCATTTTGCATAGATCGGACCATAAACAATAATTAAAAAAGCTGAAGGTACTCCGGGTTTAACAATGACATCGGGACGTCATTCATCTCCGTCCCCCGTAACCATGGGTGCTGGAAAGCGCCCGAAACGTCGGGAATTAAAAATAAAAAGTAAAAATAAACGCGATAAAATCCGTAAAAGTAGTTTTAATCATGTTCAGTTACTTCGTTATGAGCATCAGAAACGTTTATTCATTTGTGATTTATCTGGAGTGTTTAAATCAACATTTTGGTATATAATACCAACGGTATCGTGCAAAGTATCCTTACCAGTCTTTGTTTTTACAAAACGAAATTATCTGAAGCAAGGCCGGTACAGAGATCTGGTGATTTTTTTATTTGTTTCGGGACATACACTTGATTTTTCTACTGTACGTCAGTATGTTGCTTCTGTTTCGAGTTCTTCCACTCCTGGATAACTGATACAATGTCCATATCTATGTATTATGTCAATAATTTTGAGGCTACTCGTTAGAATTATTTTAAGCCATTCTGAGCATATTGTGTTTCGATGTTTTTATTTTTCCATTGTAAATACCGTAGACGACGTCCTCACAGTATGACTTGACTTGCAGATACACTTAGGATTTTTCTTACGTTTTCGATTATTACCGGCTATCAAAGTGAAGTAGTGCTGTAGATCTTGTACAGATATTTCTCTTTCCTCCAAATTTTTCGCAGTTACATTATCAGGTAATTTTTTCTTTTCTGCTTTCAAGACGGATTTTATTAACAACAAAGCAGCTTTAAGTAAAATATCATCGTCTTTCAAATTTTCAAATGATTTTTCATCAATAGCCTTGGTTAAATTATTTTTATTAAATTCATTGGTGCTTATAACTTTTTATTCTGAATAAAAAAATATTTTCTTTATCGATTTTTTTTAAATTTTGGATTCTAAAATGTGTGGTATGAAATTCCCTCCAATCTCTTTACCATGATTTTCTTCACTTTCTTCAAATAATGTCATATAACTCTCCAAAATATAAGTCAAAAAGTAACAGCGTCCTTTTTTAATTATATTGTCTTCGATAAAGGAACATATTTCAGCAAAAGCAGCTTGATGTTGTTCACGAATATCATGCCAATCAGTTTTCATCATGCCAAGTAGTTTTTTTGTTTGATGAAGCTTCGTGAGAAAAATTCGATTGACAGATTTTATGATTATCGCACCTTTAGAATTATAGAGACCGATCTAAAAAAACAATTTTTTGGAAATAGTTGAATAAAGTTTCGTATGTTTAAACATTTTGTGGAAAAGGGAGATTATTTGGTTGTACTTTCATAAAATTCGTATTATTTTAATTTTATGTCCTACTTAACTTATTTATCTACACGTTGTGAAATAAAAAAGTAAATAAAATCAACTTTTATAATTTTTTTCTCAATTTATACAAAACTAGTGTTCAGTTGGGCCTTTGTTTGCCTGAAACTATAGTTTTTTTAAAAGACCTTTTATTATTTAGGTCTCTCTCGATTCTGAATCTTCAATCAAAATATCGTATCATTCCTAAATTCGTCACTGTACTAGTACTCTACTAGCTCACTAAGGAAGTCCATCTTTCTGTTTAGTATGTTACCTGTTTTCACGACCGGCCTGATCTTGCCCCCCCCTCGCTCTTTTCCATTACTACCATTGTCTCTTCCATCGGGGCAGTCAATTCGAGGGCTATTTCTTCATCTGTCTTTAGAGCCGCGTCTACCCCTTTGTACGCCCGGGTCTTCCGAAGGGCACCTTGGATCCGGATGAACGTAGATCCACCCGTGCCCGCCTTCCCCCTCATCCATCTGCCCGCCGCCACCCACTCTTCAATGGTGGGTAGGGATTGTGGGAGCGTCCACTCTTCTCTGAAGAAACTCCTCGCCGCGGTGTACAGCATGCCTAGGTAGCGGCTCTCGATCAATGCCTCTCCTATGTGCCGGGGAGTGACGAGCCAGGCTTTAACTTCCTCTTCCAGAGCCCCTTCCGGCGCGTAGCCAACATAGCCGAACATGAGGTCCCAGTGGGTGAAATACCTCCAGGAGGGGTGTGCATACGTGCCCTCCCTTTTCGCCTCACCAGAAACGTCTTTCAATAGTTTCTTTACCGCGCACTCACACAGATCCGACCTCGTATGCATTCTGAGGCGCCGGTACAGCCAACCCATTCCCGCAGAATGAGCACGTGGTGCTATCCGCATGATGATATGCAGGCCGTCTTCCAGAACTCCGGCACGCCCCTTTAACAACCTGCAACCGTCACATTCGGGATGCTCCCGCATCTTATACCGCGCGAGACCCTCGTTACTTCTTAACTTACCGTAACCGCCCTCCCAGCCCCTCTTTTCGCGGCAACTCACTTCTGCCTTACAACGCCGCTCGAGGTAAGTTTAAAAGGTCCCAAATGTATACCCAATCCCAAAATCAAAATATGTCCCAATCTTGGGTGATAGGCGCTTCTAAGCAACATTCTCCTGCACCCGGTGGTCCGCATTCGTTTCCGCCCGTTCTTGACTCGTACCTACTTTGGGCCCGCTCCCACCGCCAGGCCCACCTAAGGCCGGCTCCCGCCCCGTGTCGGGCGAGGGCGACGCCTCAATCCGAAAATCCGCCACGGACCCAGTTCCTTCATCCTCCACCCCTTGCATTTTGCGCTGACCCAACTAGCCTAGAGCGAAGCGCCTGTAGAGGCTATCCTGCCAGTGCCTGCGCAAGGTAACGCCCCGACTGAGCTCCGGAAGACTAGCCCCTAGGTGATAATGGGGTTGCGGATGAGCCCCACGAGCCGGCGGCTGAAAGTGGCGACCCGCGTGGTATTCCAATCCTTGTCGAGGATTCTTAGCCCCCATCCAAAGGAAGAGGGGTTCTGTCCCCCTCCTCTCTCTGACGGTAGGAGACCACCCCACCCCCTCCTTACCGCTAGTGTCTGAAAAAGCCGAGTCTCCACTCGATAACTAAAGTCGGCTGCCTCTAGCCGGTCGGGGGTAGTCGAGTACAGGATATCCCCCCTCCCTATCGCCAGCAGGTCCACCCGTGACACGGCTCTCTCTACGTGGGGGGCGTCTTTGGGTACCCCAAGCTGCACCACCCGCCCGTGCAACCACCCATAGCCGGGAGCAGTGACAAGGGTGAACCCGTCTTTGTCAATGATATTTGGGGCTTCCGCCCCCTGGGTGGCCTCATGGGTAAGCCAGAGGGAGGCAGGTGTCCTGTATCCCGTGTACGTCGTATTAATTGCCTCCCTCTGGTTCACCCTCCATGATAGGCCGAGCTCCGAGGGGTTACTGTCAAGCAGATCATATTCCGCCTTCTCCACCGAAGCGCCTGCCCGGTCCCCCGCGTCCCTAACCAGGGTGCCTCAGAATGACCCCAGGTGGGCGTGCCCATGGGGGGAGGCAATCTCATCAACTACAACCGCGGCTGTCTTGAACTCTTCGTATCCCCGTCTTATGTACAAGGCCCGGTCTACCACGTCAAGCGCCGTCGCCCTCCTTACCCTTCCTGCGCCCCCGTTATGTATCGGATGGTCTACTGTCGCGTAGCCCAACCCTGTCGCGATCTCTGCTTCGGAGGACCAGACCCCAGGGTGACTGCCGGGTTCTCGTCCGCCGTGTCCCTGTCGGTAACCGCGTGATCTAGGGCTGTAACGGCATGCTTATGTCCGTAGTCAGTGTACAGCTCTGCCTCATCCACCAGCTCGTCTGCCCCGGGAAGCCTGTGGGTACCATACTCGTCGGCTATGAAAGCAGCCGGGAGCCCCATCGAGGTCGCCGCCCCAGCTGCATCCAACACTTTTTTGTTGGGGGAAGCGGTTAACCAGTAGCTTGACCAGATTGTCAATCTCTGCCCAGTCTACTTTCTTCCCTGACAGTCTTTCTCGACACCAACCCTCAAATGAATGCGAAAGCGACTGGGGGTATGTGATGAGTTGTCGGAGACTCTCCGCAATTAGGGCATGGGCGTCGTGGGACACAAGGCCATCCACCTCTCCTCTCCTGTTTAAATCCTGGACTCTTAAAGCCACCGGTCCCACGTGGACCGTAGAGATCCCGGAGGTCACCACCAGGAACAGTCTCTTTACGGGGGGAAGCAATGCTTACCAGCCCCTCGGTTCTTAGAAACGCTATGGGATGGAGGTCCGTAGCTCCCCTGTAGGTGTTGGTAATGTACCACTCCAGTCGCGTCACTAGAGGGGTAGGGTAATGCGTTTACCACCTGGAGTGCCCAAGTGCAGCTGGCCGTGGATGAGAAGGTATCTAGCACCACCACTGCTGTACCCGGGTCATGTAAAGACCAAGGCTCACCCCCCACGTCGATCTCTCCCTGCCTCCCTGCCCTTATATAGAAGTCTAGCACCCTAGGGGTGATGACCGTATAGGTATATTGCCAATTGTCAAGTACTTCCCTTAAGGCCACCTCTGCTGGGATGTCTGCCCGCAGAGGGACTGCCCGGGGGACCCCGGTGGGGAATGTGCAACCGTATCCCCTTATCAGTTCCAGGAGGCGGGTCTATAAGGCTAGGATTCTGATGTTCGCCTTGGTCGTGTCCACCGAGTTGCCCACGGCGGTTTGCAGCCGAGTCCCCCTCCCCCCACAAAGCTCCACGTGGCCCGACTGAGGGACGGGTTGATGCGTTCATCCCTCGCCCCAGGATCTCTCTGCCTCCAACCCCGTCCGGAGAAGGGGTTCCGGGCGGTAATCCCGCGGCCATTTCGCGCATGAAAACCACTCCCTCTTCCTCTCTCTTCCCGTTCGCTGTTGGCTTTTTTATCGACCCCCGTAGCCGCCGATACAGGGTACGCCTTAGTTTGCCTGCTACTGTCGCCGCCTCTCCCAGGGAACCCCCCTCTTCGGAGCAACCCCCGGTAGCCTCAGGTGCGCTGGGTGCTTTGTCACTCTGGCCGGGGATGTCTGCTGCAGTCTTGCTTGAAGTGGAAGCCTGTGCCGGGGGATGCGTCTCCCTCTCAACGTCCTCTATTAATACGTCCGCCCGCCCTAGATAGCAATGCTGAGTGGCTGGCGGCGCCGTACTTTGCGAGCCCCCCAGGAGTGATGTTTGTACCGTCATCACCGGGAGCTCCCCCTCTGCCTCCTTTAGCGCGTCGCCCACACTCCTCTCTGGACGCCAGACGTACCTGTCCCCTCTTTCCGCTAGGCTGCGGAGGCGCTCCACCGTGTCCAGGCGGTTGTCGTTGGGACCAGTGGCGTAGTGGATGTTTCCGTTGGCCGCATGCATTTCCTTGTTGTGTATAGCTGCCGCCACAGCCAGTGCACGCGCACTCCGGTCTCCTCAAGACACTATTGCGCGCCTCATCTCCTCAAATGTGAGTCTCGTATTAATGCATTTTTAGACCGTTTTAGGGACACCTTTATGTTCAGTACACACAAAAAAACATCTTAAGGTAATAAAAAAGTTTTATTAGAAAAGTAAACGGAAAAAAACTTTACTACTTACTAATTGTGCAACACAGTATGTCGCAAAGTTAACTAAAGCTAAAAGATAATTTAAAAAAATTACATTCAATGAAATGCTACTCAGTCTTCTTTGAAACTATTGCTTACAATAAAATCACATTATCCCTTACAGACCGGCGCCGACGCCGCGTGGGTTAGGATCACATATTCTTTTTATTTAAAGTCTTCGAGGTATAGTGAAGACTGGTATGACCTGTTTACAGTGATATAAGGCTTCTTTCAGTGTTTTTCAGGTGGCGTACAATTGTGTTTACCTGGGCCCTAGTGTTACTGCGTCACAATTGTGAGGGTCACAATTGTTTCAACTGGGGCCATACTGTTCGTGAGTACAGTTAGAGACAGACGACTACGATTAGAGATTCTTGTGTGTTATAATATATTTATCTATTGTTATAGATGAAATAAAAATATGGAAATTTGAAATTTCGTTTATTTAAAGTCTTAGTAAAATAATAGGAACTTAGGACAATCGTCAATCATAAAAGTTAACATAACTATTTTAACAGTCTTATACATTTAAAAAAAATTGTATTCAAACATGAGATCCATTTAATTAGGCGATTATTGAACAAAGTAGTTTTAGATATTATTATGAAAAGAAAAAAAACAATTCTTGTCTTTAGTTATGCACAAATACACGTCGCATTTAGACCAACGAGCACGGGATCGACTGGAGCAGTTAGATAACCTGCATTTTCTAGGAGCTGGAAGTGTATCAAATATGGGCCAATGGTTATAGCCATCATAGCGTTTGTCAACTGTCGGCATAGGAGCTGGTCTGTACTCAGATGTACTTGGCATTTCAGCAAGTTCCAAGTCGTCTCTGGTTCGTTTTCTGGTTGGTTCACCCAATAAATATTCCACAATGGACAAACGGAAGCTCAGTAAATCCATGATCTTAGACTTATGCAAATTGTTTAGTTTGGCATATTCCCTGTACTCAAACCACGAATTTACTATGGCAAGGTCAAAAAGATGGATAATGACCTTAAAACACCATTTCCTTGTTTTGAACCATGTCCTATAAGTTTCTAACATCTGGTCACATAAATCCACGCCACCCATGTTTTGATTGTAATTTTGTACAACGCTTGGGCATGGTATGCTTTGATATGCTCTTGTTTTTTTATCCCATCGTGATACAGTGCTACTTGGGTCCCCACCGTGTATTGATGAAATCATTAGCACGCTCTTCGTATCCTTCCATTTCACCATACAAAGTTTTCCATCCGGGCTTCCGATCTCTTCCCATTCACCTCTCTTCATTGCAGAATCTTTTTTTAAAAGTGTACAAAGTTTTCTTGAACCTATTAGCCATGATTGTGCCGGTTCCATCAAAGTGCCTGTCATTTAGTTCTCTGAACAAAGGGATCGTCGTGAAGTAGCGATCAAAATATAAGCTTCCGCCAAGAAGAGTCCTTGCTAAACGCAAGACTACGGCGGGACCCAAACCAAAAGACCTATCGGGCAAGTCAGTTGTAGCACCTTGATATATTTCAAAATCAAGTACTAGGCCCTGTGGTTTTGTAATTACAAAATTTTTTAAGCCTACAGGTCTAGGTTTGTTTGGCACATATTGCTTGTCAGGACATCGGCCAGTAAAAGGAATCATTTGCTCATCTATGGAGAATGTAGTGCTTTCTCGAGGCAATGCCAGGCAACGATTTCTAACAGCGTCTATCACAGGCTGTATTTTCCACAAACGGTTCCTGGCCTTTTCGTCCTCATCAACGCTATTATAATCAACAACATGCAGATTAACTCGTAATAAAAAAAAAACGATCACGAGACATCGCCGAGGCAATAGGATCGTATTTAAATTTCTGATGCCAGTACATCTTCATCCTAGGACATTTGACAAGACTCATCATACCATGAACCCCAAAAAACTTTTTAATCTCACCTGGCAAGCATTGTGGCTTCATTGCACACCACTTTTCAGCTATATAGTACTGTGAAGTGGCAGTCGAAAACTGTTCAAATAATTCCTCAGTAAAATAGTTTTCAAAATACTCTGCTGGCGATTTTGGTGGCTCACCTGGGTCTGGAGGCTGTTGGACTGCGGTAGGCCTACCACGGAACTTCTTTTTAATCCATTTTCCATCATCAGATTCACGAGAAATCGGCAGTGAAGACAGAGGCATGTCGTCCTCAGAATCATCAGATAAACCGTCATTTTCAGCATCCGGGGCCCATGTGTCGTCCTCATCATCACCTATATCCTCTAGGTCAGATTGCTGCAGTAAATTTTCAATATCCTCATCATCGAGCTGAGACATGTTTCCCGCCAAAATGGTATTTTTTTATTGATTGGGGCCGGCGTGCAACAATTGTGACGGTAAATTTCTTACTTAATTTTTCGTACATTAAACCTAAAACAACGACACAACTAATTCAGCTTTGTGTAAAGTAATTAATACGTAATAAAATAATACCACAATTGTTATGATTTCTTTAAAAATAAGTAAAATATTCTTACCAACACGTGGCGTGACACAGGTGGCGATGATCGTCAGAATGAACGGGTCGAAACATGAAGAGCGGCTCGTACGCAACTTGTCTCACTCACACCAATGCAACGTAGATAGCCGGCACAATCGTGCGAGCTTGGGCCCGTCTAAGTAATATTATTAATTTAACGGAAATTTTGCTTCAAACTACCGTCACAATTGTGTTCGGCAGGGATGTAAGGGTTATATAAAACTATTCAAATTAAAAGTAATTAAAGTATAGAATTATAAAAATCTGCATAATAACTAGGTATTAAGTTTTTATTAACGAGATCACGTAATTCTTTTTTTCTTATGTTCACTTAGCTCTAGTCTTTGTGAAAATGCTTTGGTTAGCGTTATTTCTTCTGGTCTGGCCATTTTCTTTCGTTTATTTCTCATATTGACCATGGTGAACTCACTTTGGGTGTACGAGGTTTTATAATAAAATGCGAACTGTTCCCCTTTACAAAATTCTAAAACCTTGACATTGGTCCATATGATATTATTTTTATGCTCATCTTCATTATAATTATATCCCCACTTTTCTTGTAGAACTTTCAAATTGATGAAAAATTCTATGTCAGCTCTCACAACTCAAAATAATAAAAAAAAACTGCGGCTGCCAACCCACCTACTAACCGTGGCAACTATGGCAAAATACCCCTATGAGGGAATCTCTGGGAATCACATTAAAAGGTTTACCATTCTAACGCGAGTTCTTAATTAGTGTAACATTGGTAGGGTGCGTATATTGGCCCAGACTTTTTCTCTTAATCTCATTTTCAATAAGGCTGTGTACATTATCTCCTTCATTCTGGGTATGACCTTTAATTAGATATATATGAGTAATTCTGTGAATATTTTCAAAAATAGTTACAGCATAAGAATATAACGTGGTAGTGTATTTATTTTTATTTTGTTCACAACAATTATCCATTTCAAATATGCCATTTCTAGAAATGGCGCACCAAACCGTGGTCTTCGGGCTGTGTTTTTGATGGACTTCATTTGGGTTGCTCTCACTCCAATATCGCATGTTCTGTTTATTGACATACCCTCCAAGGTGAAAATGCGCCTCGTCACGCTCGTACGCGTAGGCGTAGAAAATCGTTCCAAAAACACTCTTGCGTAAGACTGCCTCTTTATGTAGTCATCTTCTTTTTATTGCTGAATAATTTGAAGCTTGTATGGGCGGAACTTCATCTTTTTTTCGAATTATTTTGTGAACTGACGTCTTTTTCACACCTGTTGCAGCTGCAATCTTCCGGATAGATTTGCGAGAATTTCGCAAAATTTCCCTTCTCACAAACTCTGTGTTTTCAGGGGTAGTTACAGACGTTGAAGGTCCAGGCCGAGGCTCATTTATGACTGATCCAGTTTCTCTGAACTTCTTGACCCACGCCCATATCAGTCGATTCGGCGGACTATCCTTTAATCGGCGGATACCGAAGTGAGAATTAAAAGAACGCCTCGCCACATTGATCGAATTGTTGTTCGCAAAATAGGCCTCGACAGCGAAAGCGCGATGCGCTCCCGTCCACTGACTCATGGCTACTAAACAACCCGTAACACTCCCGCGTCGAACGATACCCCGCACTCCCCGCCACCGCCTTGCTGGACGCTGTGAGCTCGATGCAAAGTGTAAAATCTGCCGGCGGACACCTTGTACGTTACCGTATGCACCTATTTCACTATCATTCTCTTTTTTTATTTTGTTTTTATACGCTTTTGAAGTGTTGCTGTATTCTGTAACATTTCTACTATTGTAAAATTAAGGCAATTAAGTTTGGATTTATAAAAAAAATATGATGTTTCTCCAGTGGGACACTGCATAACAGCCTGCAAATCGTAGACCGCGCAAATGTTGGTTTCATTAATATTTTGACGATCTAAACGTTTTTCTTCTCCACACAGAACCTTTTCTTTCAGATGATCATCATATTTTTCCTTAATTTCTATCTTGCGATCTGGAGTTGCAAGCTTATAATCCAAGCATAAGTCGCACCTATCTTTTTTGGTTGAAAAAAACCTATATTAAACTCTTTAGTAAAAATATCATAGTACAACCAATAGTCACATGTAGGTTTTTCTTCTTCTTTCTTAGATTTATCAAAATCCCTCCAAAGATCCATTATCGTCTTCTCACCACTAATATACTCCCTGGAAGTTGAAGCTCTCAAATGGTGCCCCGTCAAAACAGCCCCGACAAAAAAGCCCCCGACAAAACAGCCCCCGACAAAACAGCCCCGACAAAATAGCCCACCGACAAAACAGCCACCGTCAAAACGGCCCCCGACAAAACAGCCCAAGTCAAAATAAATACCATACATATCTATAGAATTTATAACTATACTTATACCGTGTATCTAATTCAGTTGGCGATATATGGGAAACTTTTCTATTGTGAGTTTTAGCAAGAAATTATTGAAAAAATTGTAAGTGGTGTAAAACGAATGTTAATACTTTACGTGACTTTTTTTGGTTCATTTTATGTATTTTTTGTTTTCAACAAAACTATTGCATCGTCTACACACGAAATAAAAACAAAAATAAATGTAGGTATAAAATTATATTATAATGTATATTTACAAACAAAATTCTACAAACTATATTCGTCAAAGGTTATTAATTACAAAGGTTACAATTATTAATAATTATTATAAAATAAAAATAAATGAAGTTATATAATAATATATCAATTTATAATGTCAGATTGTTGGAAATTCCACGGAGATACGGTAAAAGGACGTCGTTGTTATAATTTCCCATAAGAGTTTCCAATCGACGATTAAGTTGCACATACTTCTTTTTGGAAGCTTCGGGATTTCTGAAGCCGGCTCGAAAACGTTCCAACTCTATTTCTACCCGGTCTTGTTCCTTCCTGAAGTGGTCTATTAATTTGAAAATACATGGATGGTGACAGTCAACGGTGTGTTGGAAAGCATGATGCCATCCTTCTACAGAGTTGTTTGTACGCGGAAGGCCCTGGTGCACTCTATCATGAACATTCCATACATGAATAGGAAATTTTGGATCTGCTCTCCGATTTCTTCTTTGCCGTCCTATATAAGTATCTTCCCAGTAATCGATGACTGCATCAATTTCTCGTGGACAGCTTTCGGTTAGCTCCTCAAAAGCAGTGATTACGTCGCCCTCTTGGACAAAAGATAACGCTAGTAACATTTTCAAATGCATTCTCACATTTTCGTCATTGCGATATTCTTCTACAAGATGTAGCTCTTGGATTTTCCTCCATAAACACTGCCCTAAGTGGAATAAACAACCAATCACCTGAACACCATGAAATACCTGGCAAACTGCATTTTGGATCGCTTTCTCGAAATCGGATAAGCAGCTTATTGGATTTAAAGTGGGTTTCAACTCCATCAATTTTTGAAACACTCGAACATATGTTTCTTCTCGTTTATCCTGTAGAAGCACGTAAATCAACGAAATAGAACGGTTATCTACCAATGCATGAATGGTAAATACTTGTAAAAATAATTGTGGGGCTACTTTAAAGGTTCCATCTACGTGCCAGTGCCGGTGCTCCTCTAAAACTTCCAAATGTTCTTTAGTACCAAACATGAAGATGCGATGAGGATCATTCTGTCCAGAATCCCATAACAAGAAATTTAGCTTTCTTGAAGTGACTTGTAGTGCAACAGGAATATTAATATCGGCAACAGAGCCTGGGTTTGGGCACGACACTTCACGCCTTTGCCGAATACGCTCAACAGTTCTCTGAGATGCATTGTACGATGGCAAATGGACTGATGCTTCCAAATTTATCCCTCTTGTCGATCCTTGAATCAACTGCCTTGGTTTCTCAAGGGTGTCCGCTGCTCGCCTTTTCATATTAGACACAGATTTTTTTGCTTCATTTTTAGCTGGATCTGGAGCATGACTGTGTCGAGTCACATTTACCACGACATTTTCCAATGACACTTTGACACGTCCTCGGCAAGGTGTCTCGGCGCATCTCCATGATACACTGCCATCGGTATTAGTTCTCGCCTTACGATACCGGTACCCATCGCTCAACAGTAAATCTTTGCCTTTCTGCGATTGAATAAGTTCCATGATCTTCACCAACAAAATTCTACAAGACTATAGTTATTTTGTGTGTTCATCGGAACATCGGTTCAGAACATCGGGGTTCTTATATATTACTTTATCCCCCCTTCTTGGAACCTACTCATAATAGGTATAGTCCGTTCATCGGTTTAAGAAACTAACTTTTCTTTTACGGGGGATTATCCCCTTACCTGGTGCTGCAATTATAGAATAATTAAAAATAAGTAATTTATTAACACTTCCCATGTATTTCTAAATGATCCATACTCGTTCAATAGCAATAAGAGGATTATCGCCGCAAGAGGTACAATAGGTACTGTAAACACATTACAAATTACTTTCTTAAAGCGATGAACGGACTATAAGTTATTATAACATTTATTCAAATCTGCTAATCGGCCGAAACGTAAATCGCCTCTTCTTGGAACCTACGCATAATAGGTAAGTTAATTAAATTGAAAGCTGAATATAAAATTCCACAATATATTCACAGAAATAATAATTATTATTATATTATATTTTCATTATGTAATATACTCTGAAGATAAAAAGCACGATTATCAATGCAACTAGCAAAGTAATAATATTATACTACCTACAACGATCATATTTCGTAAATTACTTACTTAGTTTTATAATTATTTATTTATTATTATACTTTTATGTATTGTTTGTTTGTTGTTTGTCTGTTTTGTCGGGGGCTGTTTTGT